AACATGGAGGATAGTTAGTATTGGCCAGGGACCTTGTGCTGTAGGTGGTATTGATGACTGTACTTGACTCGCCGAAGGGCTCAAAACACTGTCTGTGGCGGTACTTGATAAAAAATGTAAGCATCATGGAATTGTGTTATTAGCATGTTAAATTAGTAAAAATTAAGCATGATTTCCAAAATTATTTCCTCATTACGACCTCGTATCTTGCGCACGCTCTAAACCAACAATAAAATTATCAACTTAGAAAGGGACTGATTCATAGCAAACAACGATGCACGGTTGGGTTACTGGTGGTAGATATTGCATATCAATAAATATCATATTGCGAACATTAGCTGGAAGGTTACATTGATAAAAAGGAATGCGAAAATTGAGTGTACTATGGAATTATAATTTATAACCTAAGGCTAGCTTTTACGCCAAACGTTCATGAGTTAGGGTAAGCCCTATATTAGACGTACGAACAAGACACACTATAACTACTTGGTGCTGCGTTATAAATAACTATGAAAGAGGGTTAGGCGTTGTAAATCTACATTAAGCATTTGCCTATGGTGTTCAATACCCGCCAAAAATCAACTTGAGTCCTCAACATTCAACTTGACCCGCTAACATTAAATTATAGCACCCAACTTTCAACTTCACGTTTCAACATTCAAAGTTAATAATTCAACTTAAACTCCCAAAAATCAACTTGAGTCCTCAACATTCAACTTGAGCGGCTAACATTAAGTTATAGCACCCAACTTTCAACTTCACGTTTCAACATTCAAAGTTAATAATTCGACTTAAACTCCAACATTTAACAGGCGAGTTGTAATTGAACAGACACGATTTCTTAGTGCTGTATTTTTGGGTACTAAATATTAGTCAGATTATACTTAATACTAGATCTGGAGTAAATTTTTGCGGTAAAAAATGTTTTCGTTAATTTTTGGGGGGGAAATTGTTTTTGCGGATCGCTGGAAAAATCGCAAAAATCGTAAAAATTAGAACCCGCAAACATTTCGTGCCACACGGTATCTCTAGTTTATCTGAACTTTTTTTGATTTGTTGACAGCTTGTCTCTATTTTTGGGTTTAGCCGGGTTACTTCTTCCTTTCATACGCTGTCAGCTGTCTGTTGTGGTAAAATTCTCGTTTTCATACAATACATAATTTCTATCTAGTCTAGGTTTTATGGCAGCCCAGTATACTTCTGACTTATAAACTGGGATTAGATTTCCATCGTTTGCTATGTCCTTCCACGTGTTCGCCGCGTCTAATAATTCTCTAAAGGAAACGCTCATTTGTCTTATCTGTTTTGTTTTTGTTGTTATTGTAGTTTTTCAACAAATTCTTAATCGCTACCGTGTGGCAAGAAATTCTTGCCGGTTCTAATTCGGAAAAATTAATCACCAGCAAGAAAAACAAATCGGTCCCAATCGAAAAAAAAAATTGTTCCCGCAAAACACAACAAATAGCCAATCTGCAGAGGCATACCTTGACTCGTGGCTTGACTGGCTTGCGGTGTTCCAGACGTTTGAGTCATAACATCCAGCTGATTTGCTATTCGTCGAAGGGCATCTTTAACGTTGTTCAGCTCGTTGTTGCTCGTATTGATTTAGGAGTAATGTAGATGTCCTAAACATTATCTTTTCCGCAGTGGCAAGAGAAGCCGCTATCTTGGTTGTGCAAAAGCAGAGACCAGGGGAGACCGAAGACTGAAAACAACCCCTGCGGTTGGCCTGTTACGTCAGCGTTTGACATATGATACATTTTGGCGGACATTTTACGCTGTCCTCACAACGAGGTCAAGAATTCGCAACGATTAACACTATGATACATTTTGGCGGACATTTTACGCTGTCCTCACAACGAGGTCAAGAATTCGCAACGATGAACTTTTTAAAATCGCACGGCAATTATTCACGACCCATGGCTTCTGATACGAGTTCAATATCTTTTTAACATCGGATTATAACATCGAGCACTGAATACTGAAATTGCAAAGTTGGTTTTGGTTTCTCAAGTTGAATGTTAGAATGCTGCGCGCTCAATTTTCAAGAACAAGTAATCATATGTTAAATGTTGGAGTTTAAGTTGAATTATTAACTTTAAATGTTGAAACGTGAAGTTGAAAGTTGGGTCTATAACTTAATGTTAGCCGCTCAAGTTGAATGTTGAGGACTCAAGTTGATTTTTGGGAGTTTAAGTTGAATTATTAACTTTGAATGTTGAAACGTGAAGTTGAAAGTTGGGTGCTATAATTTAATATTAGCGGATCAAGTTGAATGTTGAGGACTTAAGTTGATTTTTGGCGGGGATTGAACACCATAGAAAACGGACTGATTCATAGCAAATTACGATGCAACATTCTTTGGGTTACTGGTGGTAGATATTACATAAGGTACTTAAATCTGATCAACTGTCAATAAATATGATATTTTAGAGAACATTAACTGGAAGGTTCACAGATGGGGAAAAGAAAATTGAGTAAATACTCTGGAGTTTTATAAAACCACTAAGATAGTACGTGCGCTCTGATTGGATGAGAGGCGTTTTCGCATGAGAGAATGTAAACATGGCTGTGAGTTCACGATGTTTTGCTTTTCGCGCGCTAGAATTTGCAAACGTTTTTTAGTAGAAAACTCGACAAGTTTACTTTAGTAACCCATTTCCTCGTCAGCTAAAACTTGGAAAATCTTTACAAACATGCTGTGGCAATTTTTTTTTCGCTTAAGGTCGCTTACTACAGTTTTGGGATGATGTAAATTATCATTTTGCCTCCTAAAAACATTTTATTGCTCAAAATAAGGCGAAATACAGTTACCGAGTGCCCAAAAAAGAGACCGTAAAATAGACCTTTAAAGACTTTTTTCTTTAACACTAGCCGTACGACCCCATCTGAAAATTTCAGGATTTATTTAGTACTAAGAAATAATTGTTTTCAGAGAGAGAAAAATAAATCCTATAGAAAAAAATTTTGCAAAAGCCAAAATGTAGAATTTTGTCTCTTTTTATAATAACTAAAAAAACTATCTATAGGATTTGTCAGAAAAAAAAGTGTACTGTTTCGTCTTCATGTTCCCTAACAATCCTAAAAATGTGAACCCAGGTCGTACGGCTAGTTTTTTAGAAAAAGACTCTTAAAGGTATAGTTTCCAGTCCCCTTTTTGGGTACTCGGTCACTATATTCGCGTTACATTAAGCAATAAAATGTTTTTAGGAGGTAATATATATTATAAATAGCGAAAATAACGCATAAAAATGTAATTTTCTATACTAGTTTACGCGTATTGTAATCAGTCTTATTTTTATTTTGTTTTCAATGTAATGTACGAGAGATATATGATTTCAAATTAGTAAACTTACATTTCTTTCCTAATAGGTAATTAAGCATAACTAATATCAAGTAAGAAGTAAAAATAGAAGATAAAAGTTGAAAATAAAAACCTTAGATAGCTCAAGGTTATAGAGGTAAAATGATAGTTTACGTCAATTGCAGTGATTAACAGTTCAGTAGAAGCCTTTAGTTGCTTAAAATGTTCAAGTTTGAAAAAGTCGTTAGTTTTTTTATCCGAAAACTCTAGTAAGCCACCATTTTGACATTTTAAGCGAGAAAAATCCTTATTTTGAAAATACATCTTTTCTGCAAAACAAGAACTGATTACGCGTGCAACACTTCGTGTACAAGACTTCGCGATAAGTAAGATTTCTCTTTTAATCAGTGCCATAACAAAGAGTTTTTACTGAGAATTAATAGCTTTAAGAAATTCAATTTGTTGAAATTTCTTTAACAAAACCAAAAAAAATCAGCCTGGGATGTAACTTGAACAAGAATGAATTACGCAAAAGATGTTAGCTATTAGTCATAGGAGAGTCAGTTTAAGATGTTAATATTACAAACAAACCCATTATACTTGAGTGTACCACTGAAGAAGACTGGAGTGGAATCGTTGTAGGAATTTTTACGGATGACGTAGCAATGAAAGCAGTGTCTGTAAAACCTGATGAAGAATATTATAGGAGACGATCATTGCTGATTATTAAGGAACAAGAGAGCCTCTCGCGCGTCTACTTTACACGATATCCCCCACATGCAGGCTAACCAAATCAGTAAGATTACAATTAAAGCGTGTATCTAATTACCTTTTTAACGTGCAGCTTTAGTGCAGAGTACTTTTTAAAAACAACATTTACAGTTTAAAACTAACTTAATTTATATGAATTGCATGAGATTAGCCGGCTGTAGATAAATTACAAAGACTATTTGAAGATTTGCTGTGCTTGAATTTGTGTCCTTTTTCTCTGCTTGTTAGACTGCATTAGCGTAGGCGTTTCCTTCGGTGCGATTGTAATCGCGTAAACCTTATAGAGGAGTTCGCGCTCATAGTTGCATCATGGGTAATCAGGGCAAGATGGCGGGAAATTCAAAAATTTGCATTGGAATTCAAAGCCAGCTAATTCTTCCTGAATTCGTATATTTGCCATGTTCTCTTTGAAAAGAGTAACTTACGAGTTCAAATAAGCAATACACTAAATCTGGCCCCGGTTGTTCAAACGTTGGATAGCGTTATCCACCGGATAAATCACTATCCAGCGGATAAGTATTGGGCAAACCAATTGAGTTATCCAGTGAATAGATTTTTATCCGGTGGATAGCGCTATCCAGCGTTTGAACAACCGGGCCTGGAGTGCAAAGAAGCCCTAGATCACGCTATGCGCACGGCGTTCGAGGGGGTAGGTCGCGCTATTTTGAGCTCTAGTTCAGTGTAAATCCCTGTTAAATTTCTATTACCTAAAATCTTTATAAGCAAAGCGGAAGAAAAGAATGGATAAACTTAGAAAAGAAAAAGAAAAGTTGATAACCGATTTACAAGCGACCAAAGAAAAGCTTGAGAAGCTTTCGAACCTTGCAACTGGCAAATCGTAAGATGGTGCCTCATCGTGTCCACTTTCACCTAGGCAAAGAAAGTGATGGTCTGTTGACTTTATAAGTAGCAATACGATGTAATC